AGGACTAATGACAACAACCAGAAACAACTGATCACATGGGGATCCCACACGAGGTTAACGAGGGGGCGTGGCACACGGAAGGAGCGGACGATCGGGGCAGGACAGGGGTAATGTTGGGATAAGATCTTTATCGTTTTGGAATCCTTTAAGAAAAAAATGCTCTTCTTGTTTTATCTTGTTCATTTTGTGTTTAAATACTAAAAACGGGAAAAAAAACATATTTAGGTGTAATTTTGGGGAGCCGGGAACCAATTAATTGGTTTTCCATTATTTCTTATGGGAAAAATTCGATCAGAACTCGAACTTTTTAGGATTCGATCCGGTGTTCTGTCGAGTTGAGCTACCTTGTTGAGTTAGGCTACCGTAGTGCTAATCGATAGCTCTAACCATAACTCTTACCCTAACCACTCAAAAACCCCTAAAACCCTTACCGTAACCCTAACCCTAACCCCTAAAACCTAACCCTAATTCCAAGACGGTGGAACTGCACATGCGCCGAAAGGTTCGATAGCACGCTTCCATAGATAGCTCAACTCGTCAGAACACCGGCCTCTGATCTATACTTAGTTATATGACCAGTACTCGAGTTGAGGGGGGATGAGGAGGGATGTCATCCCCCCTGAAATAAAAAGTCAAAATCATCCCCCTTCTAAAACGAACATCCCCCCATTCCATCCCTTTTGCTATTTGATCGTGTATTTATGTTGTAAATAGAAATCGTAGTAACCATGTCATGTTTGCCGTGTGATGCATGTGTGTAAGTGTGAGCGTCATTTGAACTGTTGGCTTCTACGTCTGTGCCGCTGTTTTCATAAACTAGCGATCCGATTTTCCGTTTTATTAAAAGGACGCACAAACTCACTACAACACGTTTGCAAATGCAATGCCATATCCTCCTGAGACCCCACCCATTCATTTATGTCCATTGTAGTGGACATTTTGTTTTTGCATCTATCTTTTCACTGATGTAAGGAAACGTATTTATTCCTGTTGTACACTAAAGTGGACATGCTGTAAAATTAAAAATTAAAATAAATTTGAAAAAATCTAAATTGTAAGTTGTCTTATTTCCTCCACTTATTTGCTACTGAATATTCCTCGGTCAACTGCTAGCGGTTTTATAACAGAGTGGAAGCAATTGGGAACAACAGCAACTCCACCACGAAGCGGGGACGACACATGCTGCGGTGCACGGCGTGAAGAAGTCGCCAACTGTCTGCAGAGTCAGTAGCTACGGACCTTCAAACTTCATGTGGCCTTCAGATTAACTCAAGAACAGTTCATAAAGAACTTCATGGAATGGGTTTCCATAGCCGAGCAGCTGCATCCAAGCCTTACATCACCAAGTGCAATGCAATGTGCTTCGGATGCAGTGGTGTAAAGCACGACATCACTGGACTCTAGAGCAGTGCAGACATGTTCCCTAGAGTGATGATTCACGCTTATCTGTCTGGTAATCTGATGGACGAGTCTGGGTTTGGGGCTTGCCAGAAAAATGGTACTTGCCTGACTGCCTTGTGCCAAGTGTAAAGTTGGGTGGGTGGGTTATGGTGTGGGATTGTTTTTCAGCGGCTGGGCTTGGCCCCTTGGTTCTAGTGAGAGGAACTCTTAATGCTGCAGCATTTGAAGCCATTTTGGACAATTTCATGCTCCCAACTTTGTAGGGACAGTTTGGGGATGGCCCCTTCTTGTTCCAACATGACCAGTGCACAAAGCAAGGTCCATAAGGACATGGATGAGCGAGTCTGGGGTGGAGGAACTTGACTGGCCTGTACAGAGCCCTGACCTCAATCCGATAGAACACCTTTGGGATGAAATATAGCGGAAACTGCGACCTAGGCCTTCTTGCTCAACATCAGTGCCTGACCTCAAATGCTCTCCTAGAAGAATGGCAGAAAATTCCCATAAACACATTACTAAACCTTGTGCACATCCTTCCCAGAAGAGTTTAAGCCATTATAGCTGCAAAGGGTGGGCCAGCTCCATATTGAAGCATATGCATTAAGAATGGGATGTCATTAAAGTTCATGTGTGTGTAAAGGCAGGTGTCCCAATGTTTTTGGCAATATAGTGTGTGTGTGTGTGTGGGGTTTGACATAACTGGTATGCAAGTACGCATTCACCATTAAAAGCGATACGTGCGGCAATCGATTGTTGAATGCGTACGTATTTTATGTGCATTAGCAAATTTATGTGCAAATTATCGTGCATTATAACCTTTATATGCTAATACGTACTTCATTTGCAGTATAGAGGTTACAATGCACGGTAATTTCTTGTTATATCGGCGCTAATTCACATAAAATAGGTACGTATTTGCGCTGTTACATTAATCGATTGCCGCACGTATTGCTTTTAAAGGTGAATGCGTACTTGCGTAGCAGTTATGTTAAAACATATATAAAATCTCACATTCTGTGATCAGAAGGTCACCAGTTCGAACCCAGCTTCAGCATGTCTGCGGGGCCTTAACCCTCAACTCCCTGGGCGCCGCAACAGGTGGTTGTCCTTCATTAATGCAATTATCTAATCAACCAATCACATGGCAGTTGCTTCAATGCATTTAGGGGTGTGG